CTGAGCTATCCCCCGGTACTTTGACAGACTATCGGCAGTTCTATTTTCTGCATCTACTGTGTGCCTGCCATGAATATCACTATTCTCCATGACCCAACTTCCTAATCTATTTCTCCTACTCAGCAAAGGTTTGGAAATCAAATTTTAAAAAAAAAAGGTATTGGGACCAGCAGTTAGCGTAATGGCTATGTCACTGGACTCCCACGTAGTCAATCGTGGTTCGAGTCCCGGACCCGGTGACTTAAAACGCACACTGGGTGCATGTATGTGCGTCCCCAAGGTCCTGAGAGGAGAATGGAGGAGAAGGGATTGCAGCGTGGCCATCCCCCCTGAGGGGTGATTTCTCACTTTCTGTCTCTCGTTTTTCTGTCTGGCGAGCGCACGCGCCCTATAGCAAAAAAAAAAAAGAAAAAAAACCCAAAAAACAAAAAAAACTCTTTAAAAAAAACGGTATTCATATTATTAAATATCAATTATTACAGCTCTTTCTATAAATCTAAAGTAGGGGATTAGTAAGGTCATTAAGTTACTCAGAGGCCACCAATTCTAGGTTTAGAACTAGACACTAAAAAATGATCTTGGGGCCAACAAGTGATATTGTGGTTAGTGCTCTGGACTCCCACGTGGCCAAGTGCAGTTCAAATCCTGGACCTAGTGGGACCAACAGTTAGCATAATGGCTATGTCACTGGACTCCCATGTAGTCGACCGCGGTTTGAGTCCCAGATCTGGTGGCTTAAACTCACGCCAGGCATGTGTGCATGCATGCCCAAGATCCCAAGAGGAGAATGGAGAAGGGACTGTGGCATGGCCATCTCCCCTGGGGAGTGATTTCTCGCCTTTTGTCTCTGACTTTCTGGCGAGAGCACATGCCCTATGGCAAAAAAGAAAGAAAAAAACAAAAAAAGTCGTGGACCTAGTAACTTGAAAAATCATGCCAGGTAGGTGTGTGCACATGTCCAGAGTCCAAAGAAGAGAATGGAGAAGGGAATGCAGTGTGGCCATCTCCCTTGGAGGATGATTTCTCACTTTCCCTCTGTTTCCTGTCTCTCTCTAGTGTGTATATGTGCTCTTTGGCAAAAACCATAAAAATAAATAAATAAATAAGAGGGAAAAAAAAGGTCTCAACCTTTAAATAGGATGAATCCACTATAGGTTATAATGCTTTTGTCAGACATTTTACCAGCTGCTGAGAAAAATATACAATATATAAATTCAAAAACACTTCTTAATAGATCTCATTTTTATAATGGCATCTATGTAGATATAAGGAGACGTCAAAAAGTTTGTGGAAAATGTGAATTATGAAAAAAAACGCATAGATTTCAAAAATTATTTTGGCACCAAAATAAACTTGCACTGTAATTCCATCTTTCCACAAACTTTGTAAAGTCTTCTTGTTTAAATGATTAAAAAAAAAAAAAAGGCTATGGTCTGTCTAAACTTAATCTTGCCAGTCAGTGGATTTCAATTCTTAGATTATTTCTGCAAATAGCATACTGCCTTGGGAGCTGCAGGTTTAAGAAACACCTGGAGGTGATACATTTGCAAGTCACTGATTCAGAAGAGGATTACAGTTTATCATCCCCTGACAGACTGAAAAATACTCACTCATTTCTGGTTCGGCAGTAAGATCTGCAGTCACAAAATTAGAGGGAAACAATCCTATACCTTGGTGGGTTTCACCTTTCCACCAGTTGGGATCACTATGATAAAGAAAAAACAATGCTTTACTATTAACAAAAAATGTGTATTTCTATAGATCTCTATTTTTTATAATTTAACATTATTACCAGATTTGAATCTCATAACAATTCAAGAGTCAAATATTGTATTATTATTATTTTTTTAATTGCGAGATAGTACGTGTACTCACCACAGAAACACAGAAAGAGAGGGGAAGAAAGGATATCCCCAGTGGGGTGTGGTCACACCACAATCCCTGCCCCTCCATTTCTCCATCTTGTCGGGTTTTGGGGCAAGCACACAAACATGTCTGGCATGTTTTTCAAGATGCCGGAGCTAGGAGTCAAACTGTAGTTTGTCATATGGAATCCAGTTCACTTAACTGCTAGGCTACAGTACCAACCCAAGTGTATCTTTATCACAAATAAAAAATGAGGTGTCAGAGATGAAGCTTTTAGACAAACAGCTCTTTATCTTTTTGAAGACTAGTAAATGCTGGACGAGCTAGTGTAATGGCTATATCGCTGGACTCCCACGTAGTCGACCATGGTTCGCATCCTGGACCCGGTGGCTTAAAACTCACTCCGGGCGCGTGTGCGTGCATGTCCAAGACCCCAGGAGGAGAACGGAGGAGAAGGGAATGTGGCGTGGCCATCCCCCCTGGGGGGTGATTTCTCGCTTTCTGTCTCTCTCTATCGCTCTCTGTCTGTCTGGTAAGCGCATGCGCCCTATAGCAAAAACCTCTCCAAAAAAAAAAAGACTAGTAAATGCTTCGAAATCTTAAAAAAAATAAATAAATAAAAAAAACAAAAAACAAAAAACAAACAAACTCTCTCCCAAAAAACAAAGCCTCTATACTTAAAAATCATCAACTTGAGGTAGTTCATGGGCTTCATTATAAGAACCCTTTGTAATAGCGTGTAAAGACATGTCCTTAATCTAAATTTCCATTTCTAAACCACTGTTCTTTCTAGCACACATTAGCAATTTATTTTCCTCCTAACAGAACACATCTGAAAGATGAAAACATTCACAGCGTAAAATATTCATAAGGAACACACTACCTGTTGTACATCCATGTTCACCACTGTAACCTCAATCTCTAGTAATAAAGAGCTAGCAAGCACTCAAAAAATAATTTCTGAAAGGATAAATACCAAAGTTTTGTGTAATTTACAGTTCAAGCTTTACTACGTTTTCTTGTACTCAAGAAAACATATTAAAATATAAGAGCTGAGAATAGCGGGTGGCGTAATAATTATATTGTTGGACTCCCACATAATCAACTGGGTTTGAGTCCCAGACTTGGCAGCTTCAAACTCACGCCGGGCATTCCTATGGTCCCAAGGAGAATGGAGGAGAATGGATTGCGGTGCGGTCATCCCCCGGGAGATAATTTCTCGTTTTCTGTCTTTCTTTTCTCTCTCTGTCTGTCTGGTGAGCACACGTGCCCTATAGCAAAACTTACTCTTAAAAAAAAAAAAGTAAGAGCTATGGGCTGAGTATGTGTCCTCTCAAAATTCTTATGTTGGAATCCTTCCCAACCCTCAAGGTGATAGTATTATAAGGCAGGACCTTTAGAAACAGATAGGTTATGAGGGCAGAGTGCACATGAATGAGATTAGTGACATTCTTTTAAAAAGAGACCTCAGAGAGGTCATTTGCTAATTCTGCCATGTGAGGACATAACAAGATGGTGGCCATCTATGAACCAGAAAGTGGGCCCTCTCTAGACACCAGATCGACTGGTACCTTGAGTCCTAGACTTCAGTGCTGTAAAAAATAAATTTTTGTTGTTTGTTTATGAGCTACTACGGTAGTTTGTTACAGCATCCAAAAATGAACTAAGACAATAAGAGTGATACACAGGAATTCCTAGACTCCAGTGCTGTGAAAAATAAATTTTTGTTTGTTTATGAGCTACTACGGTAGTTTGTTACAGCATCCAAAAATGAACTAAGACAATAAGAGTGATACACAGGAATAAACTTAAATCAATTTGGACTTAGCTTTTAGAGCTGTGAGAAATAAATAAATGTCTGTTATTTATAAATTTCCCAGTCTACAGTAGCTTGTTATAGAAGTCCAAAGGACTAAGACAATACATGAGAGTGATACTATAAAAATAGCCCTAAATCAATTAAGTTTATTTTTAAAAACACTCCCAAATTTTAGTATTTCATTATTAGTAACAATTCTTTTTTTTTTTTTCACTATAGGGCGCGTGCGCTCGCCAGACAGACAGAGACATAGAGACAGAAAGCGAGAAATCACCCCCCAGGGGGGATGGTCAACCGCGGTCGACTACATGGGAGTCCAGCGACATAGCCATTACGCTAACTGCTGGTTCCCAGTAACAATTCATTTTCAGGCAAAACACTGTAGAGCTACAGAAAAAGAAATCTGAGACACTGTATCACTTACCCAGAATGGAAATAGAAAATGGAAATGAAAATAAAAATGTGTAATTCCATGTAAAATGAATTTGTTCCACATGGATATACTGTTCAGTGCAAACGAGTTCAATAGATTATGTATTCCTTACAGATTCCCATAAATACATATGCAAATTCAGTGTATCTTCTGAAATCTTAACTTTTAAAATGATTTTTAAATGATTTAAGAATCCATATTAGGTGAAACCAAAAGAGTCTAAACAATTTTAAAAATAAATGGGAAAAAAATTAAACTACAAAATAAGAGTCTACACAGTATAATACAAGCTACTCAACTAACCACCACACAAAGAAAATATTATATCTGAGTCAATATTTTCCATTACATTTGGTAACTGCTTTCAATAGGAAAGTGAAACACAGACTATGTTACATATTTTCATATGAATGAATATTCAGTTTAATATTAATAAATACCTGTCATCGAGAACTGTAATAATTTCTCCTGCTTTAAAAGTAAGCTCATTATCTTCAGCAGCTTCAAAGTCATATATAGCACGAACTTTCCGGCCTTCATGTTGGTGGTTAGTTAAGAGATTGGACGTGCTTGGATACAAAGTGGAAAGCGTGGTTGACTGTTGCCTTTGTTCCTTCAGCGACAGCTCAATGGCTAGAAAGCAGTGTGAAAAAGACCCAAAATGTGAACATACCCAACAACCCAAAGAAATACTAAAAGATATAATCAGTAGAATAGTTGGAAATTAGGATATATTTAATGTACTAATCGAAAGTAGTTTGGTTAACTGTATTTATTCACAAGTGAAATTTAAAAATAAGCTAACAAAAAAATCAAACAGTATGATGACTCCTATTTTACTGAATGGATACAATATTAATTATTCTGTGTAATACAAAGATATAAACCCTTAGATCCATTTTTTAACAGTTGGTTGCAGATGTTTTAAATGTCCTTTCATCTTTTTAATGTATTCCTACAGCATAAGTCCCTAAAATGACGAAATCACCTGGGAAGTCAAGAGTGCCAAGTCTCATTGCAGACTTCCTAAATCAGAGCCTCGGATAATACCTCAGAAGCTGTATTTTATTGCTTCAAAAGTGATTCTCATATAATCGGTCTAAAAACTCCCCTAACGAAGTCGCCAAAGTAGTTCTCACATGCGTGTTTCCTCTACCTCCACCACTACTCCCTGCAGACCCTCACACCAAGTGTCACCTGGACTCTGCAATGTAACCTTAAAGTCTAGACTGCTATTCTTTCACTCAATGCATGACCCCATCTGCATGTCTACCCTAGTTCTAGATCAATAAAAGAGCTAACATGAAAATAAACTTAGAAACTTTTAGAAAATAATACAGAAAAATCTCTTTAAGGACCTTATGATAAGTAAAAATGTCTTAAACAAGATACAAAAATGTAAAAAAAAAAAAAAATCTCAATAGAAAAATGCAAAAAAAAAAAAATTGCGACTTCAAACTTTAAAATTTCTATTTAAGGGACCAGCAGTTGGTGTAATAGCTATGTTGCTGGACTCCCATGTAGTCAACCGCAGTTCAAGTCCCAGACCCAGTGGCTTAAATTCATGCAGGGCACGCATGCGTGTGTGTATGTGCGAGCGCGTGCGCCCAGCTCCCCTGGAGGGTGATTTCTCGCTTTGTCTCTCTTTCTCTCTCTGTCTTTCTGGCAAGCACACACGCCCGATAGCAAAAACCTCTCCCCCTAAAAATAAATAAATAAATAAAGTTTCTATTTGATAAAACATACCATAATCAAAACAAAAGAATAAACCAAAACAGGATGTCTACAAAAGATATGACCGATATATACCTAAAATAAAGACTTCTCTATCATCACTTTTTAAAAATCACAATAGAAAAATAAAGACAATTCACCAATTCACTGAAGAAGTCACAATAGCCAAAAACACAAGAAAAAACTCAACCTCACTAGAAATCAAGGAAATAAAAAGTAAAATAATCGGCATCACTTTGAGCCTATCGGATTCATAAAAATTAAACTCTAGCAATACCAAGTGTTGTAAAAAGAATTTTAAAAGTCAGTTTTAATATGTTGCTAATGAACTCACACAACCATTTAGCAAAGTTCATTACGTGCTACACCATGACCCAACAATACCACTTTATAGTTACACACAATAAACTCGTGTGTGTGCACAAAAGAACATGGACAAAGATGCACTCACTGCAGCATTATTTGTTATAGCGAAAGAGATCAGAAATAACCCAAATTCCCATTACTAGGGGGATTAAAAAAAAAGTCTATTTGTTTATTGGTTTAGTTCACTGGAATATTACATGGCAGGAACAACCAATGAACTTGATTTATGGGTCTCATCATGAATCTATAACGTTAACACTGTACATAAAAGCAAGTTGCAGATGGTGCTGAGTTTACTACTTATGAAAGTAATTTGTTGGACACAAAAATGTACTTGATGGTGTTTATAGAGTTTTACAGTAGAGTAAAAGCACTATAAAAACTTAGAGAGAGGGTTGGCTCCCTGGTGCAGTAATTAAGCACTGTGCAAAGGAAGCCAGGTCCTACAAGACCAACAATGGTTCAAATCCCAGACTTGAGGCTTGAAAAAACCGCTGAGCATGTATGCAAATGCCTAGGATCCTGACAGGAAAAAGAAATGCACGAAAAAAAGACTGCATGCAGCTTGAAGAGGTCCCACTGGAGAGTACTTAATTTCTCTCTCTCTCTCCCATACGTGCCTGTTCCCCTTGGTATAAGAAGAAAAAAAAAAAATACAACACATGTGATTGCTGCTGCCTCTAACGACGAAAGGAAAGAAATGACATTGAGGAGAAGAACAAAGTACGTGTTGGCTTTAGCTCTGAAGTCCTATTCCTTTTATTTTATTTACTATCAGGGAGAAAGATTCAGAGATCTGTCTTCTTCCCAACATCAAGGACTTAAAAACACACCTTTTGCTAAATCTTCTTCTTCTTTTTTGTTAGCCACAGTCCCAGGATCCTTGGCTACTAGAGCTGGGCTTGCTTTTGCTTGTTCTGCAGCCTGAAACAAAAAAAGAACGCAATAGGTAAGGGTTGTTCTCAAATTCTCCTACCCTAACCTACTCTAAGTACTTGCAAAATCCTCTTTGTCACTCTACCACAGTCTTCTGAAGAAGAAAGAAATCCAAACTGGAGCTGTTTCCACCTTGAAAGGAAAAGGAAAGGGCCAGAATTGGGGAAAAAAGACTGAAAGCAAACAAACACTCAGGAGTAGCAGCCTAAACACACTTCCCCAGATTTTGTGTAAATAGGTTAAACTGAAAACAGTACACAAATTGGAGAAGAAAGTCTAGAAGAAATTTTTAATTTTCAGAAAAACTCTAAAGCCAGAAAAGAGGTTGGAAAAAGGAAAAAGATAATAATTTTCAAAACAAATAAATGTTTAAAAAAATTCTATTCTATAGTAGTATTTTACCGTTTCCTTATAGAGCTAAAGTAAGGAGTTTTCTTTAGAAATTCAGATTTACAGGGAACAACGGGTAGCATAATGGTTATGTTGCTGGACTCCCACATGGCCGACTGTGGTTCAAGTCCTGGACCAGGAGGCTTGAAATTTACGCACAATGCATGTGTGCCCAAATTCCTGAGAGAGAATGGAGAAGGGACTGCAGTGTGCCCATCCCCTGGGGATGATTGCTTGCTTCCTGCCTCTCTGTCTCTGTCTCTCAGATGAGTGCACTGGCCCTGTAGCAAGAAGCTCTCTTTTAAAAAAAAATCAGATTTACATATTACATTATAAATGCTTATAAAATCCTATTTTGTAAAATAAATCCCATTTTGTAAACTAATATTAGGTTAGTAATTCTGATGTTTATTACTGCCTACATTAAACTTATTTTATAAATAAGGTGGTTTTCAAGTAAACAAATAAACAGATTGATTTATACTTCAGGAACTATTTGATTTTTTTTTTTATGAGAGATTTTTGTTATAGGGTGTGTGTATTCACCAAGAGACTGAGAGCAATAGAGACAGAAAGTGAGAAATCACCCTCCCAGGGGGAATGGCCATGCTGCAATTCCTTCTCCTCCATTCTCCTCTTGGGATTTTGGGCACAGACACACCCAGTGTGCGTTTAAAGCCATCGGGACTGGGACTCGAACTGCAGTTGGCCATGTGAGAGTCCAGCAATGTAACAATTTCACCATTTGCTGGTCCCAGGAACTACTAGTTTTTAAGCCTTGAGGCCACCATAGTCTCTTAGTTTTTACATGGCATTCAAGGCAAATCAGAATCCAGTCTATCTTACATGCCTTATTTTCACCCATTTTCCCAATTACCAGTAACTGCTAGCAGTCAATATAGTGATATTTCTACATCTCTAATGTGTACTTGCTTCTATCTACCATGTTCTCCCCACTCCAGCTCCTTCTAAGCCATTCACTTTTTTCCCTAATAAGTTTTAATTCAGCAGTTGGAAAACAGCTAAAATGATCACTTTCCCAGTGAAACTTTCCTAAATCCCATAACTAAGCATTCTCTCCTTCGTGCTTCTCTGATAATACGTTTGAACAACGTGCTATAATACAGTAAGGAACACAAATTGAGGACTCAGGGGTGAGCAGGTGGCATGGCAGTTAAGGCACAGGATTTCCACATGGCCAACTGCACCTGGAGTCTGGGACCTGGAGACCTGAAAAATCACACTGGACAGATGTGCAGTCGTGACCAAAATCCTAAGAGGAAAATGAAGAAGGGTTGTGGCTTGGCTATCCCCCTTGTGGGGATGATTTCTCTCTTTCCTTCTCTGTCTCTCTCTCTGGCGAGACTAAGCACCCTATGGTAATAATTTAAAAAAAAAAATCGAAGAGTCAGACAGACATGGATTCAAATCACAGGTTTGCCCCTTCCTATGAAAAGTTATCAATCCACAATGCACACCCAACAGCAACTAATTAAAAAATGCAATTCTAAAAAACACTCAAATTATCACTCATAGAACACTAGATACAATGGCTGGCACAAAGTCACAGGCAATAAATCTCGGTTTCTGTTATAACTATCTGTACAAGTCCGTCTCCACAAATGGACCGTATGCGCCTTGAAGGGATGTGCCTAGTGCTCACTTCGGCAGCACATATACTAAAAAAGGGATGTGCCTAAACATAAGCATCGCTGAACGTTCATTAAGTATATGAAAGGTAAAATATCCAACATTATAGTAAAATATATTTCTGTAAACTGCTACTGTATTTCATATTGTCAAACAAATGTACAGAGACATGTTTTTCTAGGAAAGCAGATCATTTAGCTTTCTGAAGTTCACTGACTATAACTTTAAGCACTCTTAATTCTTTTTTTTTAAAAAAAGAGAGATCTTTACTATAAGGTGCGTGCATTTGCCAGAGAGACAGAAAACGAGAAATCACCCTGCCTGGGGGGGATGGCCACACAGCAATCCCTTCTCTTCCATTCTCCTTTCAGGATCTTGGGCATGCACACACACACGCCTGGCATGAGTTTTAAGCCACAGGGTCCAGAACTCGAACTTTGGTGGACTACGTGGGAGTCCAGCAACATAACCATTGATGGGCTCTTAATTCTAATCCATCTCTAGCTGTAATCTTCAGATGTTTTAATTACCATGAACTTCTGAAAATTGAAGGTATAGTCAGAGACAACTTTTCCACTTACACAAATTTCTTTTCATAATTTGGTAAATTTTATAATATAGATTTATAGATCTTTTGAGGTCTGTTACAAAAACCTCTATCAGTCAAGAAGGAAGTGAAGAGGGGCTGGCAGGTGGCATGGTGGTTAAGTGTGCTGGACTCCCACATGGCTGACCACAGTTCGAGTCCTGGACGGCAGCTTGCTTTCTCACTCTCTCTCATTCTGTCTCTTTCTGGTCAAATTTAAATAAATAAGTAAATAAAGTTAAAATAATTAAAATAATTCTTAAAAAAAAAAAAAGAAGAAGAAACAAACTATACTAAGCCCTACATTTCTGACGTGCATACTTTTCCAGGTTTAGGCGTACCAAGGAGAGCTCCTTACGGTCAAAAAGAGTAGCAGTTCTATCCCTGCGTCAAAAGTTAGTGCTGAAGGGACCAGCAGTTAGCGTAATGGCTATGTCGCTGGACTCCCATGTAGTCGACCGTGGTTCGAGTCCTGGACCCGGCGGCTTAAACTCACGCTGGGCGCATGTGTGTATGTGCCCGAGATCCCGAGAGGAGAATGGAGGAGAAGGGATTGCGGCGTGGCCATTCTCCCTGGGGGGTGATTTCTCGCTTTCTATCTCTCTGTCTCTCTCTGTCTGTCTGGCGCGCGCACGTACCCCGTCGCGAAAAACCTCTCCAAAAAAAAAAAGTTAGTGCTGACAATACTGCATCTGTGACTCAAGAACTGCAAAGGTGACTGAAATACAACTTTTCTTACTACTTTTACATTATTTTCTTCTGTGCTCATATGAAAACATAAACTTAGAAAAATCTACATATTTTCAGCGGCTTTTGTTAAGTATTTCCTGACAAAAACTAAAATGTAGCAATGACTGAGACCAGCAGTTGGCATGACTATGTCACTGGAGTCCCATGCAGTCGACCGTGGTTCAAGACCTGGAACCGGTGGCTTCAACTCACACCGGGCACATGTGTATGAGTGTCCAAGATCCCAAGAGGAGAATGGAGGAGAAGGGATTGCGGCATGGTCACATCCCCGGTGGGGAGGGTGGGGGTGGATTCTCACTTTCTGTCTCAGTCTCTCTTTGTCTTTCTGGAGAATGCACGTGCCCTATAGCAAAAACCTATCCAAAAAAAATGTAGCAATGACTAAATAAATTAAATGGTTTTAACATCTACAACAAATTCTACAGTTGAACCTAGATGGTTTGTTCTTCATTAAGCTGAGACTCTTTTTTTTTTTTTAAAGAGTTTTATGCTATAGGGCACGTGCACTCGCCAGACAGAGAGAGAGACAGACAGAGAGACAGCAAAAGAGCCATTACGCTAACTGCTGGCTCTTTTTTAAAAGAATTATTTCATTTAACTTTATTTATATATTTATTTATTTTAATTTGGCCAGAGAGGGACAAAGAGAGGTGGGGGGAGAGAGAGAGAAAGTGAGAAAGCAAGACGCCAGATCTGGAACTTGAAGAGCAGTCAGCCATGTGGGAGTCCAACCCTTAAAACACCATGCCACCTGCTGGCCCCAAACTGAGGCTCTTTACACATAGGGTTTCCAATGATGAGCTTTTCAGAAACCACTTACACAAAAATCATTTAACTTATCATAACTGATGTGCATTTTATATATTTCTTGTAGCCGGAAAAGAGCAACAGTAACAAAATTAGCTTGTGTACATTTTATAGAATCTAGATCAAGAGAAGAAAAGTCTTAACTTTACTATTACTATTCTATGTCTTCAATCTTTTGAAAAAAAGAATAACCTAACTTCTCTACCAATCAAGAAATAAATGCTCTTGGGACCAGCAGTTAACGTAATGGCTATGTCATTGGACTCCCATGTAGTCGACCACGGTTCATGTCCCAGACCCAAAGGCTTAAAAACTCACGCCAGGCGCATGTGGTGCATGCCCAAGATCCCAAGAGGAGAACAGAGGAGAAGGGATTGCGGCATGGCCATCCTCCCAGAGGGGTGATTTCTCACTTTCTATCTCTCTGTCTCTCTCTGTCTGTCTGGCGAGCACACGCGCCCTATGGCAAAAACCTCTCAAAAAAAAGAAATAAATGCTCTTGCCAGTGTTTACTCCACTTGTCTTGCAGCCTAGTCTGGACAGACATATACCCACTAAGCTCTAAATCAAACAGAAGGCAGGACTGAGGAGTGGGAAGACCAATGGACTGAGAGCTCTGTCAACTACTGCCCTGGGTAAGTCATTTAAACATTCTGGGTCTCAGTTTCCTTATCTGTAAACTGAAGAGATTAGATTAGACGATCCCTAAAGTCATTTCCACAGCTATCCAAGATTCTTGAGTAAACACAGAAGGCTACATATCCAAAACATCATTAGCAATTCTTCCTTCTCACATAAGAGCACATCCCTATATGGAATAGATTCAATGCACTGAAAGTCATACTCTACAGCAGAACTTTTCAAACTTCGATGTGGTACAGCATCATCTGCAGACCTTGCTAACACGAAGATAATAAATCCACAGGTCTGGAGCGGTACCTCAGATGTTGCACTTCTAATGCTTCCAGATGATGCTGGTGATGCTGATCAATTAGTATTAAGTTCTAGAAAAGGTATAGAAAATGCAATTCCACTAAGTATCTATGCTCTTCTGTTCTCTTCAGCGAGTTTCTTCTTTGGTAAATAAACACTGCTTCCATTTCCAAGGAATTTATAATATCTTGAGTTATTCTGCATAAATTATACCCCAATTATACAGATCCCAGAAATTATTTAAAGCAGTAAATGCCAGTTATCAATTATGAATGAATACTTTACAAAGACAGAATTTATCATTGCAAAACTAATTTTTCAAGACACAAAAACATCATCTGCTTCTCACTCGCACAAATATATTTCTGGATCTGTGCCTCTCAAGAGCATCACTTAAACCATAAATGCCTTGGAAAGGAAGTCTAGACAGGTCAGGATACTGTAGGCAGTCTACATAACTTCTCAAAATGGTCAAAAATCTGACCATAAGCCCTCTATAACTGAGTGTTTTCTATTCATGTTTCATACTTATCATCTGCCCCAATCCATACAAATAGAGGAATATAGTAAATTACCAAACATTTTAAGCCCTCTTGATTAATTGGGGAATCCCAAAAGATAGTTATCCAGAATAGAAAAGGAATTTAAAAAAAAAATCCTTATTTCTTTCCTACATGATATAAGGTAAATATTGGCCCTATTACATAATCTTTTTTTTTAATAAGTCAAAAATCAAGCCTTTTAGTGAAGCATAAATATTTCTGTTGAGAAAAAAAAAAAAAAGGACTTATATAATGGTCAGTTCTTAGAGAGGAACTAAGAGCTTCAGGTGCTTCTCTTCCCATTTACATCTTGTATCTCCTTCCCATTCCTAATACAGGTATTCATAGATTTCCTAATCAAAAGAATCTCTTAACTCATCCCTAAATTTTCAGAATAGCCAGATTTTTTGAGCTGTCATCCTGTATAGATAAAATTATATAACTAAGAAAAATTAATATGATTGTCAGTACTACCTGAAATAATAAAGCAATTTTGTTCTTAGTATTAAAACTATATTTAAAAATTTGAATTGCAAATTGCTAAACCAATCATTTATAATGAAGGAAAGATGGGAGGAAATTGGAGATTGGAATACATTAGTATTACACTACAGTATCTTTCCAACACCTTTGAACGGAAGATTGTCATTATTAACAAAATTCCTCTGAGCACCTACCTGCGAGTGAAGGAAAAAAATCTGAATAAACCTAATTATTTTAGAGAAACAAATTAGCATACATACAACTTTATAAAATACCTGAGAGCCAATAGCTGGGAACGTAACTCCTTGTTCTTTCAAATTCTTAATCATAGCTGATATCAAACTAAGCTGTGGATCATTTTTAAATTCATCTGTCCATTCAACCATAAGAGCCTTTAGTTTTTCACATACTTTAGGATGACCCTAAGAAACAGAAATCAATTTTAATAACTACCAATGTATTGGTTAATGTTTAATATACTACAAATATAAAAACTGTGAAATGTTACAAATGTATTTTTGAATCACAAATTAAATATATGAATATTTAAAAATATAGTTGGGGTCTGGCTCAATAGCTCAGTGTTTACCAGAGCCAGATCCCACAAGGCTGACAATGGTTCAAATCCTGACCCTGGCAGCCTGAAAAACACACTGGGCACAAGTGTGTGCACACATAAAATCCCAACAAGACAAAAAAAAATGGAAAGACAGAACTGCAGCATGACTATGACCCAACTGGGATTGGGGGGGGGTACTTTCTCTCTGCCTCTCCCTCTCCCTCTCTCTTTTGAGAGCATTATGTATTTGATGACATTTTAAAAACAAAACAAAACAAATGTGTATACACACACACTCACACACACTATACAGAGATATATAGTCAATTACTAGAAACTCATATTTTATATTATGAAAAAATAGATAATATCTTCACTGATAAATTAAAACAATTCACTTAAAAATTAAAATAAATTAAATATATAATCATTTATTTTGGAGATCAGAAAAACATTTTTAAAAAACTGTTTCATATAGTCTTTTTTAATCAGACTATTTTGAAACCAAGTGAGTTTGATATATCAGGAAGACAGAAAAGTAGGCCCTGAAGCTTGATGCATATGTGCATGTCTGGGTACATGTGCATGACCAAAATTCTGATGGGATGGAGAAATGCAGGATAAAGAATTGCAGTAAGTCCATACTACACCGGGAGTGCGCTCTCTCTCTCTTTCTCTATCTCTGGTGAGTGCACATACCCTTTGACAAAGGAAGGAAAAACATCTTGTGATAGCCAAGTGTGGGCATATCTCATATCTAGATGAAAACCAGAGGGTCCTACACTTTCGGCAGTATTTGTGAAGGGCTATACAGAAAAATGTCTCTGTGTTTAAAAAACTATAGCTAAAATAAACTATTATTATAATTACAGAAATGCACATGTTTTGTTAGTAAATGAAAGAAATGATGGCTTAAATATCAATAATATATAAAACATATATAAAACATATTTTATATATATGGATTGAGAGAACAAACTCTCAAAGTTATGTGGCTTTGTAGTCTCTCCAACAAAACATGATATTTATTTATATAATATACTGGATCAACACAGCCTGCAAAGAGTTTATATACAAAGCACAGAATGGTCTTTTGCAATTTAAAATGTAAACATAAATATATAGATAAAGGAGAATATCTTAATTAATGTTCCTTACCTTATTTAATACGTTGCTTACTTCACTAGCAAAATCTCTTGAACATACTTCTAAATGAAAAATTTTGCCACAGTTTGATACACATGCTCCTAGAAGCTAAAAGCATAAAATTAGAAGTTAAAAGGGCTTAATTTTGGCAGATAATTTTGTGGTACAGCTTAAAATGAAAACACTTACAGTCAACGCTTGCATAGCAACATGAGGATCTTTATGGTTCACTCTCCTCATAACAGACCGAAGACAATCTTTAGGTCTGAAAAGTGAAAAATCAATTAATATAGAACATTTAGCTTTTTTCTGTCATAGGCAACATACAAAAGGGAGATTATGGTAGAGAATTAATTTCTATTAATGACACATTTGGAAAACTGTACACTTACTAGTTCCTTTATGTTTTTCAAACCAAATTAATAGGCTCTTCTACTTAGCAATCACAGATTAGGCATTTCATGTTAATTCTGAGTAAAAAAATTTTAAATAAAATAGTTGGTCAAGACCTCCCCTTCAGTCATGAAAGACTAACTGAAACTAGACCTACACTATAGTGCTGTAAATAATTAGAAAACTGGAAGAATGTCTATTTTAAATATATGACGAGATAACTGCTTGGCCACAAGTACTGCAAGGTGATCCCCAAAAAGAAAAACAGATTCGATAAGTCAGAGAAGTTTGCCTCAACTTTCTACCGAAAGGTACTTTCAAAGTATCAGTGTAGACTTTCTAAAAGCAGTTTCTGGATCACAGTGCAAAAAGGTGATTCCAAGAGGAGCAGGAATTTCACTAAATTGAGCAGAAAGAAGTAAGAATTCAGGGAGGCAAAGGGAGCTAGAAATTGCAGAACACAGCAGAAAACGCTACAGGAAGAAGAGCTGTAGACAACTGCAGAAGTGCCTGCTTAGGTCTGCTGTGAAAAAATCCACTCATACATTGCTGAAAAACTGCATGAAGCAAGGACAAAAATGAATGACAGCTGTAAGCCCAAGAGTTCCCAGAGATTACACAGTTACCAGAGCTCATACCAAAGTGAGAGTCTTTGTTGAATATCCAGAGCATTCAAGTAGATACAACAAAGAGTTTAGACCCTAGCGATGGAACCAAACTATCCCTAAGCCCAACCCATAATAACTAAAAAATCAGCTATGGGAAAATATAGCAACTTTAGAAAGAATACAGTCTGATACTCTCTAACGGAATCCACAAAACCTGGCATTCAAGAATACTCAAAATAATATAAAATTCAAAACTAATAGACATTAACAGGCAGAAAACTATGGCATATAACTAGAAGAAAGTTAGATGTGATGTGGCTACTCCCATGGAAGGGGCAATTTCTCAATTTTTCTCTCTCTCAGTGAGTATTTGTGCCCTACGACAAAAACCATTTAAAAAAAAAAGAAAAGAAAAAGATGAAAAAATAAAAGATGAGTAAACTTGAAAACATGAAGAACATAATCTAAAATGTAGTATAGTGAGGGAAAAAATTTTTAAATATTTAACCAAGGAATACCATTAAAAGTATGAAAATATAAAAAAGCAATGAAAAATATCTAACGGATATATAAAAGATAAATGTAAATAAACAAAAAAGGCAGAAGAAATAGGTAGAAATCATTTAAGAAAATGAGATTAGGATTTTAATTCAACCATATGGATAAACTACTTCAACAGTCTTCAGAGGGAATAGTTGGGATTAGCAGATGGCATAATGGTTATGTCATTGCACTCCCACATAGGCAACCGCAGTTCGAGTCCCAGATCTGGTAACTTAAACTCACACTGGGTAAGTGTATTTGTGTGTGTGCGTGCCCAAAATCCTGAGAGGAGAATGGAGAAGGAACTGTGGCATGGTCATCCCCCAAGGGGGTGATTTCTCTCTGTCTCTCCCTCTCTCTCTGTCTCTCCAGGAGTCCATGTACCCTACAGCAAAAATATCTCTCTTAAAAAAAAAAAAGAAAAAGGAATACTAACAGGAAAAAAACAGGAAAATTACATAATAATAAAAAGGGTTATGTCCCCCCTCTCCCCCAAGAAAGCATAACAATTCTAAATGCATATGTAAACAGACTTCAAAATACATAAAGGAAATACTGATGGAGCAAAGAAGGAAAAGCACAAATCTATTAGAAACTTCAACATATCCTCTTAATAATATTAATGATAAACACAAGAAAAATACACACACGTGTATGCACACAAATGGAAAACACTATCATGGTACTTGACTTTACTTTCCTTCTCTCTGTGTTAAGTTCACACACTCTAGACAATAATATATCACTTCACACCCATTATGATGGCTACTATCAAAAATAATAATAATAATAATAATAAGTGCTGACCGTTATGCGTGCACTGTCACAGGGAGTATAAAACAGAATGCTCACTGTGAACAACAGTATTATGGTTCCTTAAGTAGCTAAAAATAGAATTACCTTATGATGAAGCAATTTTACTTCTGGGTATTTACCTCAGAGAATTGAACCTGGGGTCTTGAAGAAGCTATTTCTACGCACGTATCTCCCCTCCCCATTCATAACAATACTATTCACGAGATCAAAAAGGCAAAAATAAGTCATTGATGACTGGATAAACAAAAGATACATACATGAAATACTACTCAGCCTTAAAAAAAATTAACAAGGACATTCTGAGAGAGCAAGCAAGAAGAGAGAAAGAGAGGGCCAGCAGGAGGCATGGTGATTATTAGGGCTCTGGACTTCCACATGGCTGACCACAGTTTGAGTACCGAATGCAGGTGCCTGAAAATCACTATGAGTGTATGTGCACACGTGCCCAAAATCCCAAGAGGAAAATGAAGAAAAGGTGATTGCAGTGTGACGGAGGGGTGATTTCTCATTTTCCCTCTCATTGCCTCTCCTCCTCTCCCTCTGCAAGCACAAATGTTCTACGGCAAAACCTTAAAAAAAAAAAAGGGGGGGGGGCAAATACAAAGGAAAAAATGAGATAAATAGCAAGAATCCCCCTAGGGGTCGTCAGATGCAATCTCTTTCATCCATTTCTCTTTTTCAGATTTTTGCTGCGCACACAGGCCCAGCATGTTTCTGAAGCCACTGCTCCAGCACTCGAACCCACCCACTCAGACATGTGGAGGAAACAGAAAATTCTAACACATGCTACAACATGGATAAACCTTGAGAACATTATGCTAAGTAAGTTAGTCACAAAAAGACAAATTCTGTATGATGCCACTTAAATGAGGTGCTTAGAGTCATCAAAATCATAGAAAAAAGTAAAATGATAGTTGTAGGGGCGAATGGGGGGTATTATTTAATGGTGTAGTGTTTTGATTTTGTAAGTTGAAGAAAGTTCTGGAAATGGATGGTGATGATGATTGCATAACACTGTGATATTGGGATCAGGTGGTGGCACAGTGGCAATACAACTCACACCCACATGGAAAGGTCCTGGGTTCACAAACCCACCCGACACATGCACACATGTCCATGATCCCCACTCAATGAGAATGGGGTGAATCATGTTGTGAAGGCTCTGATGAGGGTGTCTATTTCTCTCTCGCTTTCTCACAAAAGAAACTTTAAAAAATTAGGAGTGGATTTTAGTATCATTGAATTGTAAACTTAAAAATGGTTAAGGTAGTAAATTATATGTTTAACGTACTTCATAACAATAAAAAAAATTGGGGGGAAAATCTCAAATCAATAACCTAAGCTTCTACTTTAAGAAACTGGAAAACAGGGACCAGCAGATGGCACAATAGTTACATCACTGGACTCCCACATAATCGACCGCAGTTCCAGTCTTTAAAATTCATGGCCAGTGCATGAGCTTGTGTGCCCAAAATCCCGAGAACAGAATGGAGGAGAAGGGACTGAAGCATGGCCATCCCCTCTGGGGATGATTTCTCACTTTCTGTCTCTGTCTGGTGGGCACATGCACCCTATAGTGAAACTCTTTCTCTCTCGTAGAAAAAAAAGGGGGGGGGGACCAGTAGTTAGTGTAATGGTTATGTCGCTGCACTCCCATGTAGTCGACTGAGGTTCAAGTCCCAGACCCAGTGGCTTAAACTTGTGCCAGGCATGTGTCCATGTGTGCCCAATATCCCGAGAGGAGAATGGAGGAGAAGGGATTGTGGCATGGCCATCCCCCACCCCGGGGGGAGTGGGTGATTTCTTGCTTTCTGTCTGTCTCTCTCTTTCTGGCAAGCGCACGTGCCCTATAGGCAAAAACCTCTACAAAAAAAAAGAAAAAGAAAAAGAAAGAAAGAAAGAAACTGAAAAATAGAAAATTATGCCCAAAGAAAGCAGAGGGAAGGGGACCAGCAGTAAGCATAATGGCTATGTCACTGGACTCCCATGTAGTCGACTGTGGTTCGAGTCCTGGACCCAGTGGCTGAAACTCACGCCAGGCGCGTGTGTGTGCGTGCCCAAGATCCCGAGAGGAGAATGGAGGAGAAGGGATTGTGGCATGGCCCTCCCCCACCCCGGGGGGAGTGGGTGATTTCTTGCTTTCTGTCTGTCTCTCTCTTTCTGGCAAGCGCACGTGCCCTATAGGCAAAAACCTCTACAAAAAAAAAGAAAAAAAGAAAGCAGAAGGAAGGAAATCATCTAGAGAAAAGATAAATGAACTAGACAATCAAAAATAAAATAAAGAAAAATCAATGAAAACAAAAGTTTTTTTTTAAGTCAACAGAACTGACAAACTTTTACTTGTTACATTCTTTTTTAAGTCACTTTCTGTATATTGTTGTCTTCATAGGAATTTATCCATTTTACACAGGCTATCTAATTTATAATTTATAATAAAATTATCTATTGTGATATTTCAAAGTCCTTTTAAAACAAAGAAAACTCAAATAATTAGAGTTTGTCCAAGAAAGCTCAGATAAAATCAAAGAAAAAAAGAAATATCAATCCTATCCTCACCAAAATAAAAAGAATTAAAAAAAAATTCACAAGCAATTTTATGCCAATAATTTGATTAAACTGATAAAATAGACAAAATTCTACAGGCAGGGATACTGAAAATGACAAAGCACAAAAAGAATATAAGTGTAACAAGTAAACCAAACTAAATTTCATATCTAAAAAATACCCACAAAGAAAATCCCAGGACTAGAATGTTTCATTAGTAAATATTTCCAAATGTTTGAAGAAGGAGTAAGCAGGTGGTATGGTGGTTAAGGTGCTAGACATGGTTGACAACTGTTCAAGTCCCATGTGTACCCAAAATCCCAAGGGGAGCATGGAGGAAATGGGATTGTGAGTGGCCATC